ATCCATCCCAACAAGCAGTGCTGAAATGCTTGTTCCAATTTAGGACCACTGTTGGTTGCTACTTTCTAGCAGTGATAGAAATAAATTTCTCTGCACAGGAACACATAAAATTTCTTCTATCAGGTTTCTTTATTTTTTCTTTATTTTTTCTCCCTGACTGGAAGAAGGATGATGCTAGGGAGGAGATGATGCCTCACCTCACTTTGCAGCCTCAAGAGCTGTTCTCCTGTGGAAGCAGCAGCCCCTATTCCAGCCTCTGAATCTCTCCTTGCATTGTGCATTGCAGTCATTGAGGGTTTGAATCACATGCTGTGGATATTGATACCATCATCCTTGGGTATATGGTAGGGGAATGGCTATCCTTCCGGAATTATATGGACTTAAAAACAATGATAAAATAACTTGATTATGGAAGACAAAGCATGGTGACTCACCTGGTCCTTTGCAGGCCTATTTTTTCCAGTTAGTTCTCACGATTTTCTAATTTCTGGTCATAAAGGCAAATAGGTAACCTGAAAACAAGATATCAGTGAGTCAGAAAGGAGACAAGATAGTTTCTGCTATTAGTCACTATGGTTTAATAGTGTCTTAGCATGGAGTCATTGGTTTGTTCTGTCAGTGCTATTTTGATTTGATTACTGTTTCGAGCTGAAAATTCATTTGATGTATAGAAAGCTCTGTTATGTTGTGGCTAATAGCAGAGCTGCCCTTGAGCTGTGAATGGCCATACAATTGGTAGGCAGAAGTATCCCTAACTGAGATAATATTTTTAATGCAAATAGTAAGAAAAAAAATCTGCCGTCTGGTAAGCAGATATTTACCCTATCTCTCCTATCCCAATTGACTGCTAGGGAATGGATTTGGACCAGAATATTTCAATTCTGTACATTCAAATCAGTATTCAGGCTAGTCATATGAGGTGTTGCACAGGAGAGAAAGCTGGACCATCCTCCCGCTCCAGACAAAGAAATATCATAGAAGCAGAAAATTATGTCTGCAGAAACATAGGTAAGAATTGAACTACTTGTAAAAGTAGTTATTTACTGCCATGAAGTGGCAGTAAATACGGCATTGGTTTATTATTTTAAATACAAAGAGGCTTAACTAGCGTTCCCTGTATAAATCAGGGACAATCTTTTGGTATGTGACTTACTTGGATGCAGGGGGTTTAAATCCACCCAAACTTGAAGCCAGACTAAAGTACTTTCTCAGGACTGCTGTTTCATTTCATGTATGGGTGCTTATTGTATCCAGGTCTCATGTATGGGTGCTTATTGTATCCAGGTCAAAACACTGCAGCCCATTTTCCAGCTTGCCTCCCTCCTCTCCCTAATACACTCGTACATTTCTGTGTCACCAAGCACTCTGCAGTGAGGAAACTTCTACAGACAAGGTCCTGTGCACATGCAATGAGGCACCTAGGGAAGGGAAGGAATGGGGTCAGGGAGTGTAAGGATGCTGAGATAGTATCTGCATCCTCAGAGGAACTTCATCCTAAATGCACATTAAAGGGCAGAAAATATTTATGGTTTTGTTGATCCTTGAGAAAAGTCAGGCATGGTAATGGTGTAAAAGCTTTTTAAAGTGGCAATAAATAATAATTATTATAAATAAGCCTCGGAGTCATGTAAAAGCTTTTTAAAGTGGCAATAAATAATAATTATTATAAATAAGCCTCGGAGTCATAAAAATCCCTCCTTGGCCACCTGAAAGCTTCTTTATTACCATTATCTCAGTATAAATAAAAGTGCTTTTCTTAGACCAAAATATATCATACAAATGAGAGCTTTGATCCAAGTCCCCCTATTTTCCTAAAGGGTAATGAGTGATACATTATTTATTGTAAACTTGGGTTAATTCTAGTTTTTTTCAGCTTCAGAAGAGAGGTTTAGGTCAATCTCAAATTTTTCACCTGCAAGTGTTCATAAGCACAAAGAAATACTGGTGCAGTCAATGGCATTAGAACGTGTATCAGATTTTTTAAATCAGACTTTTTTTTTTTAAGAAGGTAAGTAGACTGTAAAACACTTCAAAGCAGAGTGGAGTTGTCCATGAAAGGACAGGGTATCCGTTCCTCTCTAGAAGAATGATTGATACTGCCTAGTGTGGAAAACAGCTACCACAGAGCAAAGCCCTTCAAGGCTTAAAGCTTTGATAAGCAGGAGCAAAATTGTTACTCTTATATTTACATATACACTGCAGCACACTCCAGGCTTAGAAACATTATCACCATCAAGATTTTTATCAATATCTATCAAAATACCTCTAAGTATATTCATTTAGATGTGGCAGCATCAGTCCACAGCTACTCCTATCATTACTGGTGGCTGTACTTGGTCAACAACTGTATAAAAGGGTGCATGTATTAGAAGCAAGTATTACAGTGACCTGTTAGGCATTTCTAGTTTAGTACAGCATGAGGGCTTATTGTGATTCTGACTGTCCCTCTGCATCCTTTTCCCCCATCTTTGTTAACTTCCTCCTAGGTCTGAGATAACATCTGGACAATAGTACCACCTTGACCTTTATCTCAAGTTCCCATTGTGGTGGCTCAACTTACAGTCCAAATTTCAAGGGATATTTTGGGGGGTGAGCTTCAGTGGTGGGTACAGATGCCCTCTGTCCCATAATTTGGTGTGGTCTTTCTTTGACTGGGGATATGCACATGAACAACTGCTTCTTTACACAGTTTGCCATGGGGGAATTTTTGTAAGGATGCATTACATGGGATGTACTAACCAGATCTCACCTCTGTCAGGCCTAGAGTTAATGTCATCCTGTTACTCCACTCTGGCTTGTCTTATTGCAAAGCTCTTCTGGACTTAGGAGTGTTTGAGATGGGCAGCTGTGCTCTTTAAGCCATTATAGGACTGTGTCTCCATGTTGAGAGAAAAGATAACAGCAAACTTTGAGCCATATGCTGGCTGCCAGCCCAAACACTTTCAGGATTCAGTTTTCAAATCTCATGTTTTCTTTTGGCACCTCAGTGCAAGAAAAGCTTCCAGGAGTTTCTCAGTCCTTAAGATCATTTTCCCTAGGAACATTCTT